CAGTCACTCGAGGAGGACTGCAGCCACCACTTAATCAGACTGCTACCAGCACCCTGACCAACGGGGTGTAAGGTTGTATTCTGACTGTCTCAGCGAGTTGTTTTTTGTTATTTTTTTTGTTTTGTACTGCTGATTTTCATTTTAATTTCTTTAGTAAGGAATTATTCTTCCGATTCTTATATCTTTATCTGAGAGCACTTTGATATCAAGATTATAATAATTTGGAGAGGGTTGTTGCTTACATTTTTATCAATTTCAATGGTGGTTTCTGCCTTCCTTAGCAAACACCTTTCCTTTCAAACCAAGACCCCCCAGATACCCAGGGACTTCTAGAGAGGGACTTGGACAGAGGGACCTTCAAATTCAACGTGCTCATTCCTTGTTTTCTGCCAAACCAGGATTTCCCAATCTCAAACTTTGGCTGGATGGATGAGAAGGCTGCAAGGAAGAGGAAGATGCCCCAGGACACCCAGGCAGGTGAGGAGGAAGTCAGTGCCCCTTTCCCCCTCTCTCCTGCTCCATCTCCCAGCCCAGCCTGGCCCCCGGCTGCAGGACAACCCCGCTGCCGACGCCGTCCTGCCGGGGACGCCCTGGGGGGGATCTCCTTCCCCTTCCCTCTGGCACGGAGGCAAATCCCATCCTCTCCTTGTCCTTCCTCCCCCAGACAAGGAGCTGAGGATGGAGACCAGGGAGGACAAATCCCCACGGCAGAACCTCGTGGAAGAGGCCATCTTGAGCGGCTCCACAGCACAGGAGTCAAGGAGGAAGGAAAAGTTTCAGAGATCCCGCAGGAGGAGGGGCTCCAAACCCATCCCAGGGTGCTCTGAGGAGGAAAGACCCACCCTCTGCTGGGAAGGCAGCCAGAGATCCAGCCAGGGCTCTGAGCTGGTGGTCCATGAGCAGCTTCAGGATGGGGAGAAGCGCTACAAGTGCTTGGAGTGTGGGAAGAGCTTCAGCCAGAGCAACAGCCTGATCTGCCACCAGATGATCCACACTGGGGAATGGGCCTACGAGTGTGGGGAATGTGGGAAGGGCTTCAGCTGCAGCTCCCAGCTCACCATCCACCAGCGCATCCACACTGGGGAGAGGCCCTACGAGTGTCCTGAGTGTGGGAATAGGTTTCAGACCAGCTCCAATCTCCTCCTGCACCAGCGAATTCACACGGATGAGAGGCCTTTCCGTTGCCCCGACTGTGGGGAGGGCTTCAATCGAAACTCCAACCTCATCAGGCACCGACGCATCCACACTGGGGAGAGGCCCTACAAGTGTCCCCAGTGTGGGAAGAGCTTCAGCTGCAGCTCCCGCCTCAATACCCATAAACGTATCCACACTGGGGAGAGGCCCTACGAGTGTACCCAGTGTGGGAAGAGTTTCTCAGACAAATCTAACTTGACCAGACACCAACGGAGGCACCAGT